GGGACCTCCGGTGAGTGTACCTTTGTAAATATAAAACATGGTTTAAAAGCAAGCGTTTTTTAACGAATAATTTGCCCTGAGGACTTGGGATGTATTTGCGGCCAGTGCAGCTACTGGAAAAGTCTGTTAACGTGTCTGGGGATGGAGCAGAAATCCTCCAGGGACATCTCCATGAAGCTCTCCTGGAGGTAATCTAAAAGCCTTTCCACAAGGTTTCTTGGCAGTGCAGCCTTATTCCGTCCTCCATGGTAGGACACTTGACCACGCCATACTAGTAGCAAGTAATCTGGTATCATTGCATGACAAAGCCTGGCAGCGTATGGTCCCGGTGTTTGCTGGCATTCAAGCAACATCCGTTCTTTATCTCGCTGTGTTATCCTCAGGAGAGTGATATCGTTCATGGTAACCTGGTTGAAATACGGAAATTTAATTAAGGGGACAGAGGTGGCCGTTCCTACTGGGCTGTTTGCCTGTGGCTGAAAAGAAATCCTTCCCTGCAGTTAGCCAAGCGGGGGGGAGGGGGGAAATCATTGGCGCTGAGCTTTTCATGTTTGGCTATCAGGGAACTTCCCTGATACCAGCCATGCGGTGGGGGGAGGGATAAAGCGATCATCCCAGAGAATTGGATGGGGGGGGGTTAGTTTGGTTTCTGCTGCTGCACGTTAACAGGAAAACCGCAGCACTCAACGGGCTTTGCTTGGTATGTGGGAAAGGAGGGCGCTGCTTGTAGGAAAGCTGCAGAAGCCGAAAGACAATGGCTTACCATGGCCGCATGCAAGCCGAATTCTGTTGCCCGGACCTGCGTCTGTGCTGTCTAACACCAAAGCCGCAGGCACTCAATATTAAGATGCAAAATGCGACCTTGTACCGAAATCACATGTGCTATGTAATGTGAATAGTGTTGTTCACCGTGAAAGAGTATAAGCATTGTTCTGTAAAATATATCTTTTTAAATACTTCTCTACCCTTTTTCCCTCCCTCCCGCAGCTGCAAATTTTTCAAGCCTCCCTCCTCCGTCCCGAAGGCTATCTCAGATAAGGCGTCGAAAAAAGAGGACGCGAGATGAAATGTTCTCGGAAATCATGAAATCCACCCGCAATGAAAGAGCTCATCTAAATGAGTGGAAGGACACGGTATCAAAGTACAGGAAAGATGCCAGTGAACGTGAGGCCATGAGGGACGCTTGAGATGAGAGGAGGCAGGCTGCAACGCTGGGGCTGCTGTGTGATCAAACGGACATGCTCCGGCGTCTGGTGGAGCTTCAGGAACGGCAGCAGGAGCACAGAGAGATGCTGCAGCCGCTGTATAACCTCCCTCCCCCCTCACCATGTTCCATAGCCTCCTCACCCAGACGTGTAAGAACGCTGGGGGGGGGGGAGGATCCGTGCACCCTCCCACTCCACCCCAGTGGACAGCCCAACCAAAAGGCTGTCATTATATTGAACTTTTTTAGTGGCCTTTTCCTTCCCTCCTATCCTCCTCCCAAACCCCACCCGGGCTACCTTGTCAGTTCTCTCCCTCTTTTTATAATCAATTAATAAAGAATGCATGATTTTTAAACGATAGTGACTTTATTTCCTTTGAAAGCAAGCTGGGATCAAAGGGGGAGGCTGGGTTGCTTTCAGAGAACGAGTCAATCAAGGGGGTGGGTTTTCATCAAGGAGAAACAAACAGAACTTTCACACGGTAGCCTGGCCAGTCATAAAACTGGTTTTCAAAGCTTCTCTGATGCGCAGCATGCCCTGCTGTGCTCTTCTAATCGCCCTGGTGTCTGGCTGCGCGTAATCAGCGGCCAGGCGATTTGCCTCAGCCTCCCACCCCGCCATAAAGGTCTCCCCCTTACTCTCACAGAGATTGTGGAGCACACAGCAAGCAGCAATAACAATGGGAATATTGGTTTGGCTGAGGTCTGAGCGAGTCAGTAAAGTGCGCTAGCGACCTTTTAAACGTCCAAATGCACATTCTACCATCATTCTGCACTTGCTCAGCCTGTAGTTGAACAGGTCCTGACTACTGTCCAGGCTGCCTGTGTATGGCTTCATGAGCCATGGCATTAAGGGGTAGGCTGGGTCCCCAAGGATAACTATAGGCATTTCAACATCCCCAACGGTTATTTTCTGGTATGGGAAGTAAGTCCCTTGCTGCAGCCATTTAAACAGAGTAGTGTTCCTGAAGACGCGAGCGTCATGAACCCTTCCCGGCCATCCCACGTTGATGTTGGTGAAACGTCCCTTGTGATCCACCAGTGCTTGCAGCACCATTGAAAAGTACCCCTTGTGGTTTATGTACTGGCTGCCCTGGTGCTCCAGTGCCGAGATAGGGATATGGGTTCCATCTAGCGCCCCACCACAGTTAGGGAATCCTATTGCAGCAAAGCCATCCACTATGACCTGCACGTTTCCCACAGTCACTACCTTTGGTAGCAGCAGCTCAGTGATTGCTTTGGCTACTTGCATCACAGCAGCCCCCACAGTAGATTTGCCCACTCCAAATTGATTCCCGACTGACCGGTAGCTGTCTGGCGTTGCAAGCTTCCACAGGGCTATCGCCACTCGCTTCTCAACTGTGAGGGCTGCTCTCATCTTGGTATTCTGGCGCTTCCGGGCAAGGGAAAGCAAGTCACAAAGTTCCATGAAAGTGCCCTTACGCATGCGAAAGTTTCGCAGCCACTGGGAATCGTCCCACACCTGCAACACTATGCGGTCCCACCAGTCTGTGCTTGTTTCCCGGGCCCAGAATCGGCGTTCCACGGCTATAACCTGCCCCATTAACAGCATGATCTCCAAAGCACCGGGGCCCGCGGTTTGATAGAATTCCATGTCCATGTCCTCATCACTCTCGTCGCCGCGCTGCAGTCGCTGCCTCCTCCTTGCCTGGTTTTGCAGGTTCTGGTTCAGCATAAACCGCACAATAATGCGCGAGGTGTTTACAATGTTCATGACTGCTGTCTTGAGCTGAGCAGGTTCCATGCTTGCCGCGGTATGGCGTCTGCACTGTTCACCCAGGAAAAAGGCGCGAAACGGTTGTCTGCCGTTGCTTTCCCGGAGGGAGGGGGAGGATGTACCCAGAACCACCCGCGACAATGTTTTTGGCCCCATCAGGCATTGGGATCTCAACCCAGAATTCCAATGGGCAGAGGAGACTGCGGGAACTATGGGATAGCTATGGGATAGCTACCCACAGTGCAACGCTCCGGAAATCGACACTAGCCCCGGTACATGGACGCACACCGCCGAATTAATGTGCTTAGTGTGGCCGCATACATTCGACTTTATACAATCTGTTGCCAAAAATCGAATTCTATAGATTCAGATTAATCCCGTAGTGTAGACATACCCTAAGTTTGAAAGCTTGTCTCTCACCAACAGAAGTTGGTCCAATAAAAGATATTAACTCACCCACCTTGTCTCTGTAATATCCTGACTGACACGGCTACAATAACATTGCATGACTGGCATCTACCTGGCATCTGTCACATGCAATTCTTTTTCTCTTTATTTCCGCAGGGGGAGTGTGGTGATAGTCTACACTACTCATTGCTCTGGGAAAGTGATGCATTGACTAGCCTACTTTCTAAATCTGAAATGTGGTTATTGACTTGTAAAAAAAAATCTCAGGCATGGAAGCCTATCAAAACAATGTTTGGTTAGCCAATTAATATATTGCTAGCCATGAAATCCTTTTTGTCTTTAACCTTTGCCAGCTGGTCTCGTCATTGCTAGGGCTGTTGTAACATTAACATATTCTGTTGTAGACATCCCCATGTGATTGTCAATTCCCTGTCAATTCCACTGTCTGTGGGAGGTTTTTTTGATTTTTTTAATTAAAAACAAAGTATGGGCTTTTTCAGGGTGTGTGCTGAACTAAGTTTTGAAATAAGGTAATTTCACTATACTGAAAATCCTGTGCAGTCAGGCTGTATTATGCAGGTGCACCACAGAAAACTAAAACTCAAACTTTGCCTTTTGAATTTGTGGCTTCCTCTCCTGCAAAAAGAGGATGTACAAAGGCACTCCCTGTGGGTTTAGGAAACAGATAATAGTGTACAAAGTGATAGGTTTATATGGGCTGTGTTGTTTTTAATTTGGCTATCGGTATTATAATGCAAACTTCACAGAAGTTCGGTTTAAGGGTAAGCTCAGATAGCAAATGTGTGATGTCAACAAGCATAGCTGCTCATGGGAACAGAACAAACAGAACACAGGTGGCTGAGCCACAGGATATTTTTCCATCACTGTTTGTTTTAAATTTCCTCTGTTGGGGTGAGTTTCCAATGAGTTAATTAAAGTAGTAAAATGCCACCTAATCAAACTATTCAGTCAAATCATAATAATAATATAATAATTCATCTTGCGTATAAATTACAAGTACAGGAATCATCCCCTCTGCCCCATGGAAACTCAGCTCCTTCTTGGGTGCAATACACGGTGTGTATTAGTATTAGGCAACACTGTCTAACTTGGGGAAGAGATGAAGAATAATATCCTCTTTAATTGAAACTGTAGTATGAAATGTAAGGAGGTACAAAGACCCATACTGGAATTTGTCCAAGACACCAGAGTCATTGCCTCTGTTCTAGCGAAAAGTGCTTTAATGACCATAAATAGTTAGGACGTATATGCATATACAGCAGCACACGTCTACCTGACATTGTTCTTGGGTATAGACTCAGTGCTAACTCAGAGGGAATAGCATCACCTACTAAATCACCATTTTCTACAATCCCTCAGTTTTCCATCCAGCTATTGTCATGGCCTGATTCTGCTTAGTTTTTGAGATCTTACTATGTCCTGAATATGGAATATGTATGGAATGATATGGGAATTGTAATTTTAAACTCATTTTTAAATAGCTGTAGCAGCACTATGCTGGAATCAAAGATCATTGTTAAATATTTGGAAACTGTATAATAGCCCCAGCTTGTAGACGATGGTAATTAAATAGGTTTTCTTTTCTCTTAACAAAGAATGTTAATATGATCGCTGTTTTCTCCTTGTCAGAATATGGCGGCATGGGCTTGGACTTCTCCTATAGCATTGCAGTGGCAGAGGAACTGGGAAATATCCGCTGTGGAGGGGTTCCTATGGCTATTGGAGTGCAAACTGACATGGCTACACCAGCTCTAACAAGGTAACTTTCAAAAGAAATCCTCAATTCCCACTCTTCTCTTCAACTTCAAATTTGTTAGGAAATAATATAATGTATTTAGCACCAAGAAAAACATTGTTGACCAAATTTACCATTTTGAATTTTTCCCAAAAACCAAGGGAAGCTCCTCTTTACCCTCACCTTTAAATAATTTAGGATAGCAGGAGAATATGATTTTACATTGGAAGATAAGTTTTTAAAACCAAGTGATGTGTTCTACTTGATCTAGAACACTAAACACAGAGCTTTGACTCCTCTGAAGCATTCTAACAAGCTGGTCTGGAAGACTGATAAGCCAAGAATTAAATAATTGATTCAAGCAGACACAGATTTGTTTCTCATGGGGCTGGCATTATTCAAATAGAAATTAGCTAATTTAGGTATGTTTCTCAGACAAAAATAAATATGCCACCTTTTACTGCAGTATATTGGTTACTGAAAGCAAGACTAGACATAAGTAAACACAGAACCTCAACATGTTGATGTTGCCAGCCAAATCAATATACACCAGTAGAAGGATTCAATAGCTGGTGCAAGAAGATGAATGGTAGTAATGCAGTCTTAGCAACAACAAATGAGAATCAATTATTTGACTGTCAGAGACTAATGTCACACAGTCTATGAAAATAAATCTCAACAGGTTTTTAGCATTTGTCTTAAAGCAAATTCGAATATCATGGTCTTAGAAGTGGAAACCCACTTAATATCCTCAAATGACACTGTTGAAAAAGAAAAAGTTGGGGGTGGAAAGACAGGGGAGGTTGGAAGAGTTTAAAAATAAGAAATAATAATAAAAACACATTGAACCAAATTTAGGAGTGATGTTAATGGTGACCTTACACATTGAGTATGACTGGTTCAGAAAACAGATGTAACTTGCTCCAATTTTGGCATTCATTTAAAAAGAGAACTGGATACATTCATAGAGGTTAAATCCATTAATGGCTATTAGCCAGGATGGGTAAGGAATGGTGTCCCTAGCCTCTGTTTGTCAGAGGGTGGAGATGGATGCAGGAGAGAGATCACTTGATCATTACCTGTTAGGTTCACTCCCTCTGGGGCACCTGGCATTGGTCACTGTCGGTAGGATACTGGGCTAGATGGACCTTTGGTCTGACCCAGTACGGCCGTTCTTATGTTCTTATGTTAGCAGGGCAAAACAAGTGTAATTTGCACACGAATGATGGAAGGAGAGGGATGTGTGTGGGTGGCAGAAAAAAACAATTCAGAGGAAGGTGGGTATAAGCTTGAGAGTCCCCTCACCACATACATGACCTCCCCTTAATAAATCCAGGCTGTGAACTGCCCATAGTTCTCCAGTCCTCTCTGAACCAAATTCATCCCAACACAGTGACACCATTTGACAGATGAATTTGACAGTAATTACTAGGACCAGTCCTCTTTCATTTTTGCAACTCAGCACTGTGTGCTTTTTTCAGTCCTTCCAGTACTTCCTCCATATTTTTCTGAAATAATTATCAGGTGTACAATAAGTTTTACTAATTCCTTTAATGTCCTAGTATATATATCACATTGACTGACTGATCTATGTATGTTCATCAGTTACCAGGCATTTGCTTACCTGCTGCTTATTAATACTTATTTTTACAGGGCCTTCCTTGCTTTGGAATTGTTCCTCTTTCTTTATATTCAACTGGTTCCTCTTTCTTTATATTCAACTACATCATTCCATCTGAATCCAGTTTATTGGATTTCTACATGCAGCACTGGATTAAAGCATAAACTAACTAAGCTACAGCTTAGGGCCTCACAGTATGAGGGGCCTCTAAAAAAGAAAAAAACTGACTCCATTTCCAATTTTATCAAAATCGGTTGATAAATAAAGGAGATATGGGGAAAAGAAGGTTCTCTCTAAATATAGACATTTTCGTTCAAATATGACAAACATATTCACATCTGATTACACAAATACCCTTATCCTACCATTACTCTTCACTAATGGTTCATTATAGACAGGCGGAAGGCCAAGACTGAGAAAAAAATGATAATTGCATTTGTAAAATGAGTATTTCTACGAGTAAGTCTGCTATCTGTGGCAGCGTTTTGTTGGCCAGCTGCTACTGGTAAAATTCTGACCATACCTCATAACTTATTTAAATAAATAAATAATCTCACTGCTGATAAAATTGTGAAAAATGTGAGGTCTGAGACGGCAATGTCGTGAAGCAATCCTGCCAAGCTCATACTCGTATGGGACTCGTCTTAGGAGTGACATCATGTATAGCATCCTCTTGGCTGGTAATAGCCGGAAGGCTGCCATCTTTTGTTTATAGTCCAGCACGTTTAGTCGTAGTGCCTTCGCTCATGTTTTACTTCCTTTTCTTAAGTGTTAGTGTGTTCTTTCTTCTTTTGATCTGTACACACTTACAATTGTGTATTTTAGTGTGCACACTGCTTTCTGCTTCATGCGCTATCCATGCTTCACATGATTGAGTTTGCAAGTGATTGTCTTATGGACTTGGGTCAAGTGGATCTTGAGGAGGATAAATTTGTGTTGGCTTCCCTCTGTCAGTTTCGGAAACCTTAATAAATATCAGAGAGTGCTGATGAAAGGATAAATAGAGGGTTTTGAGAAGTGAAGGAAAATATACATATATATCAAAATATTCTGAGTACTTGGTGAGCAAGTTATTTCAAACTATGTGCATATATGATTTATAGGCTATTAAGGCCTATAATATTTATTATATTTGCTTGACTATAGACTAGTTTATCTCACTTTCTCAATGCCAGTCTAGAGATTACCAGTCTTTTTTCTGGTAAATTCTTTCTCTCTCTTTCGTGCATAGTGCTTGTTGTCACTCTGTGTGTCCGAGGTATTTACTCGAGACTAATTAGTGGTCCTGGGGGAGACAGAGGATAGAGAAGCGAACACAAAGAGAGATGTCTGCCTAGAAAATGCTGCTAGAAAAGCTATTTGCCCTAAGCATTCTGTGCATCGAAAGTGACAAACTCCATAGCTTATCATTTGAGGACATCATCAATGATTTTGCTCTCCAAAAATCACAAAAGAAAATGTTTTAAATTTCAGTTTTAAATTTAATATGATTTGCAAACAGACATACTGCAGGTAATACTGCTTCTATTAAGTAAGCTGGTCTGTGTAAGTAACTGCTTTGTTGTTGCTATAAAGTTTTCATAGCTACTAAGAAGTCATAGACAAAAATATGTTAATTTGAAACTATTTTATAATTCAGACAGGCATACTGCAAGGTGTGTTTTAGTTAGATTATTATTCTATTTTTACAACTTCGCCTTTGTATATATGCAAATAAAGAGCTTTCATGTTTATATAGTCAATGTCCTTTCTGTGAAAATAATCAAATAATTTTTTTTTATGGTATGGGGCCTCTTACACTTGACATAGCTTAGGGTCTCAGAATGTCATAATCCAGCCCTGCCAACATGACAGCTGTTGTAACGTGTCATCTTCCCAAAGTTCTTGCCTGTCTCTAAGAGCCCCTGCTCATACTGTAGTTCCATAGCAGTCCTGTCCCTTAATAGCAGCCCATCTAACCAGATTTAGGTTACAAGCCAGCAAAACACTTCAGCATTGGGACTGCTCACATGCTTAAAGTTATCCATGTGCAGAAGTGCTATGCTGGATTGGGGCCATAATAAGGCAAAGTATCTGCAACAAACAACTCGGAAAGCTGAAGGGTTAAATAATGGCAGCCATTCTGGAATGATGAACTATTAATAGCATAATTAATAATAAAGTTGAGAGCTGATAATAAAGTAAAACATAGGTAAAGATAATAAAAATTATTATTCTTTATAATAGGTCATTTAAACAATTGTTGATAAGAGACTTAATTGCACAGTCAACTGATGCCTATGTAGTTTTGCAGAGAAGGACATTCTATCTTCTCCTTTCCCTTTCAAATAACAACATCTTTGATTTCCTGCAGCCCCATAGTCTGAAAATGTGGATATACTTCCATGATTTATACTGACCCTCCTTCTGTACTTAAAAACTTGGAGGTCTTACTCATGGGAAGTCTTTCCAAAGAGAATTTCCTTTGCTTTACACAAATACACCAGAAACCTGAAGACAACTGATAGTAGCTATAGTTTATCATTTGATCACTCCTAGCACAGCTGTAGTTCATTTATTATACTGTAAAGGATAAAACTAGTATTTTATAAGACAGTAGACGATAGCCCATACCTTAAGAAGCTTTTGTTATTTTAAATTCTTCCCTGTGGTTTAAAAGAAATCAATAGCTAGCTGAGGGCAGAATTTTGTTCCATTGTAGTGTTTTGGTTTGTATTGTATCATGTTTTTCCAACACAGCAGTAACAGCACCTAGGAAGGTAATCAAGACAACTGACCACACACAGAAACATCTCATTCCAGTGGGAGAGCACACTACATTCATTGCTTTGATGTTGGGGAGAGGTGCTGCAGAAGACTTAGAATAGATGAAGTTGCAGTGTACCAGGGCATGAAGCCTTCAGTCCAGCTAGTATAGAATGCTGCAACTCGTCTCCTCACCAACACAGACTATTGTGAGCATATCACACCTGTTCTCTGCTGTATACGCTGGCTTCCCATAAATTTTAAATCTATGGTCCTCAACTTCAAGGTGCTTGTGACAGAGTCTGCTCACCACAGCAGCAGCTCCGGCTGGCCATCACAGGGATTAGCTCTGCCAGCTGGTGCGCCCTCTTCAGGTAGCGCCTTTCCCATCATTGTCTCTGCCTGCAGAACCACTTCAGTTCAAGTACCACAGCATCCTCTTCATGACTCGGCCCTCTGGCCATGTCATCATCCCTGTTTTCCCCGTTCCGAGGGTGAAGTATCTCAGATCAATAGTCCAGCCACTTCCCCAGTGGTGAATGGGGGAGGGGGGGAACCCAGGCCCGCCCACTACTCTGGATCCTGACCCAGGGACCCTGTAGATAGCAGCCCCATGCTGTGTTCCTTTAACTTCACTCAATGCTGCTTCTGTTCCCTG